AAATGTCATTTGACTTATGGCATGTGAATTTGTGGTTGCCACATCCAACAAATTGTACTTATTGATCAATATTATTGAAGATTTGACGAAGATTTAACTTAAATCTACTGCCTTTCGAGATTTAATATTATATGGTAAATCTCAAAAGATTTAACGTCAAATCTCGTCAGAGGGCTAAATCTTCATTAAATCTCACAATGGAGACATAGTATCACACACGCATTCACCAATTTTGAACAATTTCATTTATTTATTTTCAATTTTGTATGGTTTTAAAATGCTGGAAAACTTAAAAAAATCCGGCGGGCGAACTGAGGGAATGGTAAAGTATTTTAAACTCTCGATAAATATGCGTTTCAGAGAATCTGGTTATTTCAGTTTTGTCTTGCGGGCTACAGAAGGGCGAGAACTCTCCCCAGACTCAAAAATTAAGATTAGTGCCACAAGAGATTATTTTGCGAGATTTAGCCGATTGGGTATTTGAACCTCAGCGTGGTGTAATTAATCAAAACCACTTGAAGGATCGATCAATTTCGCGTCCACAAAATAAGCACTATACGATAGATAATAATGAAATGGGTAATATGTTGTCCGGAGTAGAAATGGCGTCGATATCTACTGTCGTTTCTGAATATCCACAGGAGTAAGTAGAAGTAGGGGAGTTGCTCCTCATGACTTGATACTAAAAGTTAGAGCAGTTGTGATGTTACTCCACAACCTAAATATGTACATATGAAGGGTTAGTTAATGGTCTCGCCTAATAGTTAAAGAATTACAATGTAATTGTGTGGATGTCGCAATACAAATATCTACATATAAAGGGTTAGATATTGGACTCTAAACATGAGATTCCAATTACACAATCAAATATATAAATTAACAGTCCAGCGAATCAACACTTTCTTTTGTATTTAAATGTCGCCAAATCAAAATTATTGTAGCGTTCGCAATAACAATAAATAAGTCTCAAGGTCAGACCCCAGCAAGAGGATTGCTTAACGCATGGCGTTTTGAGTAGAGTACGATCTTGCCCAAATACCAAGTTGAAGTTAACTACCAAAAGCAATGCATGTGGGTTTTAGAATAAAGAAATATGCAGATTTTTTAGACCACGGAGCACTCCGATTTTCGGGGATTATTACAAGTATACATAATTTAAAAAAGGGCTTTCTATTTATGGACCCAGTTCCACTTCCTCTAACACAACTTCAACATCTACCGTTGCAGGACGTCCTGTTTCGCCGCCACGCCTTCCAGGTATGCGACCTTAAAAAAGTTAAAAATGATAGTTATCTAGCAAGCAAACAAGAAAGGTGTAAAAATCACTTACCTTCATATATTTCTCTATGGGTCCGGGCGAATACTTCACGACCCGGATGCCGACGATTGGGGTATCGCTCTGCATAGAGTCTTTGAGCAGCTCTGGCATTACAGCAAGCTTCACCGTAAATTAGGTGAATATCCGCATATTCATGCGACGTATACTGCGTGTTCTCTGTCATAGTATTAATAACACAATGTT